CCCCAAAACCCCAAAACCCCAAAACCCCAAAACCCCTTATATAAAATTAAAGATTGAGAAGAAGTTATTATAGAATTTGTATTTATAAATGGACCAAGGTAAATGATTCGTCCCTTTAAAGCTGGACTTGCTCAACTCGCCTCGTGCCTCATGGCTGGGTTGTTAGGCTCAGAATCAGCAACGAGCCAGGAGCCCAAGTCTTTTGGCTGAACCTTTCACTCTAAAGATTTCATAAATTATTGATTCAAGTACTAAAATGGATGGAATTGCAGAGAAGATAGGTTTATGCTAGAAGTCTATTAGAACCCTTTCTTCGAGTTTAACATCTCACTTGCGACTTGAAAAATAGGAAAAGTAACCAATATTTAGGTCAAAATTTCCAAAACACCCAAAAATTGGTAAAAGTTGATGAAAATTCAGCAGGAGTCCCATCCCAGGCTTTGAACATGAATCACCAAATGAGCAATTTAAATCCAACGGGAAACATGATTCAGATCCCTACCAACCCAGAATCTCAATTCCAGATTGCTCAGATGCAGTCCATGGGTGCTCCAGCACCCACTGGAGAGGAAGCTAAGCATGGGACAGGAGATAATAATAAATTAGAATCTCATGCAGGAGCATTGGGCGGGTCACATGCTCAACACAATTCGAGAGGTCATCATAATGATGGCCATAATGACTCGGACGACAACTATTCTGATGACCCGAAGAGCAGAACCTCTGCTTCTTCTAGAGTCAACTTCTCTAAACTAACTGCTGAGGAAAAGGAGAGGAGATGCCATAACATGTCAAAAGAAGTCAAACAGCTCAGAAGGAAGATACGTAATATGGAGGAAAGATTAGCTCGCACCAGCAATGATGCTGAAGGATCTGGCTCAAGAGATTACTCCAGTGGAGTAGGAGAAGCCTCCATCCAATCAGCAAAAGATAAGATCAAGAGCTTCAAGGGATTTGAGCTCTCAGACCAAAAGGATCTCATTGACAATCTCTGTAGTGCTCTTGCTCAAGAAAGAATGAGACCGGATTCGTTAGCATATTACATGCTTTGCACTATTGTCAGAGGTTTCCTTACTGACGAGGAATGGGCCCAAAAGTAACCCTTGTTTAAACCTTCTCTAGATATGCAGCCAAAGAAGAGCTAGACGCAGATAAAGACTCCGGAGATATGTTCAAAAACAAGGAAATAGTGGTTACCCTCCCAGGAAAAGATGTCAGGATCTCCAAGAAGGAATATCAGGTTTTCGCTCCCTTCCAGGATAATGAAAAGATTATGAGGTTGCTTACAGGACAACTTGGCAGCACAGAGACTCCGGAAGCTAGTGCTCCCCAGCCATCAGACCAGAACAACCAGGCTGATATGCTAGCGAAGCTGTTGCAAGGTAACTCTAACTTCCAGAATCTGAATGCTCTTGCTGAGATGCAAAATTTGATGAATAATCAATTTTTGCAAGGAATAAACACAAACCAGCAGACATCAGCCCAGACCTCAGCGAGTAACATGATGGCCTCGATGATGGGTATGGGGAACCAGAGCAATGGAGTCCCTCAGATGCAGCAGGACCAGAACCAGAGAATGTCGGTTCCTCAAAATTTACAAAATGATCAGCTCCTGAACAACCTGATGAACTCCAATCTTCCTTGGAACTTGGGCCAGATGGGAGGAATGAACGGGAATTTCCAATAAATAGACACTAAACCTGTTTTCTTCTAAAATTTTACCGTGAGAGCTCTTTTTAGTTCCCAACAAAGTCTTGTCAAGCTAGTGGCTCGATTAGAGCAGCTAGACAGCTGAAGATCTCCCTCTTGTCGGAGTCTTGGGAGGTCCCTATTATGTGCCCAATGCTGGTTGTGAAACGCTCAATTAAAGCCGGTTAGTTTTAGATCTCCTCATTTTGAGTAATTAGCAACCCAATTTTACCAAAATAAAAAGGGGTTTTGGGGTTTTGGGGTTTTGGGGTTTTGGGGTTTTGGGG